CGTTAAAAAAAAATTTAAAAAAAATAAACAAGTCACAGTAAATAAGAGCCTATCTTGTGCCCACCCCCACCCCACCTCCACTGCCTCTTCTACCTAGTTTTACCTCCAGGGCACTGCGTTAAGGGCCAGCTCAGTTGTCCCACAGGAGTGGCCCGATACCCCACGGGCAAGTGACAAAGAAAAATTGTTTTCTCTGCTTCTAAAGAGGAACCCTTCCTTTACGTCAGCATTTTGGTGTGCAAATACCTCATTCGTCCTTGAAATGTAAATGTATCCCGGAGTGAAAGTGTACAGGTTTTCCTGGCATTTCGGGGCTTACCCTCTAGACCTAGTTCAGGGATATAACCGTTGGCCTTCTCAAGAGATAAGGGAAGTTTTGGGGCGCCTGGGTGGCTCAGTCGGTTGAGCTTCCGACTTCCACTCAGGTCATGATCTCACAGTTCGTGGGTTTGAGCCCCGCGTCGGGCTCTGTGCTGACAGCTCGGAGCCTGGAGCCCATTTCGGATTCTGTGTCTCCTATCTCTCTCTGCCCCTCCCCTGTTCATGCTCTGTCTCTGTCTCAAAAATAAAAAATAAACAGTAAAAAAAATTAAAAAAAAAGAGATAAGGGAAGTTTTACTTTCCTTTGGGATCAGAGCAATTGACTAGACAAATGGACTGTGAGATGTTTCTTGGGGGTTAATAAGGGTTTTTTTTAACAGGAGCACAGAAATTCAGGGAAATTTTATTGCCCCACATTTCCCAAATTCATCTATAAATTCAGTGTGATCCATATCAAAATCATAGCAGTCTTCTTTTGTAAAAAATTGACAAGCTGATCCTAAAATGTGTATGCAAATACAGAACAATTCTTGAGATCAAAATTGGAGAATTTACCCTTCAACGATTTCATAACTCACTATAAAGCTATGATAACACAAGGTGCAAGTAGTATAAATATTTTATATATAATTATATATAATATATATATAAATATCAATGAAATATATATATGTATATATATATATATAAAATATATCAAAGAACAGGATAGAGATTCTAGAAATAAACCCTCTCATTTATGGTAAACTAATTTTTCACAAAGATGCCAAGGCACTTCAGTGGGGACTTTATGAAACTTAAATTGGACTTTATGAAACTTAAAAAAAAAAACCTTTGCTCTTTAAAAGATATCATGAAGAGAAAGAAAAAAATCATAACTGAGAGAAATGTTTCTAAATTACGTATCTGGTAAAGGACTTGAATCCAGAATTATATAATCATCTTTCGCAAGTCAACAAGAAAATAAACTGCTGAGTTTAAGATGGGCCAGTGATTGAACAGACATTTCACTAACGAAGATACATGAATGGCTAATAAGCACGTGGAAAGATGCTCAACCTTGTTAGTCATGAGGGAAATGCAGACTAAAATCACATCTCCTAGAATGGCCCTAAGCCGAACGACAGACTCTTCCCGGTGTTGGTGGGGCTGTGGAAAAGCTGGACCTCTACTGGGAATATAAAATACACTCATTTTGGAAACGTTTTGGTGGTCTTTAAAAAGTTAAACATATATGTGGTAGACAATTTTTGACATAGTCTCACTGGTCCCCTCCTGCTGGCATTCATACGCCGTGTATTCCCCTCTCTGGCGTGTGGGCCCATTGGGTATGGAAAAGGTGATGGGGGGTCTCTTCTGTAATTCAGTTACAAGGGATTGTGACCTCCAACTTTCTTGTAGACTCTCCCTACTTCCTTCTTGGCTTGCAAGTTTTGTTGAAGCAAGCTGCAGGGGGCTGGGCGTGGCAGTGAGGCCCTCAGGTCACTGGTCCAGAAGGAACTGAACGTTACTAGTAACCCCAGAGTGAGCTTGGAAGTGGATCTTCTCCTAGTCGAGGCTTCCGATGAGATCGTAGAGCCTGGGCTGACATCCTGATTACAATCTTGTGACAGACCGTGAAGCAGAGGTCCCAGCTAAGCTGTGCCCAGACTCCTGACCCTTGAAAGCTGTGTGATAATCACTGTGTGTTGTTTGTGTGGTATATCCACGCAATGTAATATTGCTCACAATAAAAGTAACGACCTATGATACATGCAGCAGTGCTAAGTGAAGGAAGCCAGCCACAAAACATTCGTTGTATATGATTCCACTGATAAGAAATTTCTAGAAAAGGCAGTACTATAAAGAAAAAGCAGATCAGTGGTTTCTTGCGGCTGCCAGTAGGGGTGAGGATTGACTTAAAATGAATGCCAGGGAATTTGGGAGAATGATTGTAGCCTTCTAAAACTGGATTTGTGGTTGCCTAAATATGGACGTTTACTAAAAATTTTCAAGCTACTGTTACTGTGCGTGAATTGTATGATACGTAAATCATATGTCAATATAGCCATAAAAATGTGTTTGAAGAAATACAATTTTAATCTCCATTTATTGGTGTTCAGTGTGCTCTAATATTTACAGATTAAATTTTGATTTCACCCCAAGTTTGTCCTTCTCATGCAGTTTAAGCCATCTCTCTCCCTGTGCACAGCTAGCTTCCCATCATGCTCCACGTCTGTTCTTAAGGCCTCCTCCCACACTCCTGGCCCTGACTGTGTGGTACTTCCTTTTGGCATTTTGAGCAACGAGATGTGATTCTCAGAGTCCATCTAGACTTCTTGGTGTTACAGATGCCTCTTTTCACTTTTCTAGTTTTGTTTTGTTGTTTTTCATAACTGCATTTTCCAGAAATGATTAGCCCATTCTAATAACTTTGTAAGCCAGCGCTTCACTCGTATCCATGGCCCCTAAGATACAAATGCAATCACTTCTGAAATCTGCATGAATACAGGGAAAGATATTATGGATTATTTTTTTTCCTATGAGATGCATTTGTGTCTCTAACAGTTCATTTTTAAATGTGAAAAACAAGCCAAGAGTTGTTTCCACTGTTTTTCTTTCTTTCTTCTGGGACCATCAACAACTGTGGAGTTATCTGAGAGTTGAACTGAGAGTATGTTTTTCCTGAGTTTTCTTCCACGCCAGTAAACTCTCAGAAGGCCTTGCAAGTAAACATCATATATGAATCCCCTCAGCTAATATTCAAAACTTTCTCACCTCTGTTAGACTTTATTCCAGTATGTATATTTGTCTTTGTTTTCCCTCTTCCTTTAAAATTTCCTTCTTAGATTTTTAACCCCATGAGCACTTAGAATTTTTAAAGCACAATAAATGGCTGGTATCAAAGTTCTCCCCCTACATTATTTTGGTTTTTTTTAACGTTTATTTATTTTTGAGACAGAGAGAGACAGAGCATGAACGGGGGAGGGGCAGATAGAGAGGAGACACAGAATCGGAAACAGGCTCCAGGCTCTGAGCCATCAGCCCAGAGCCCGACACGGGGCTCGAACTCACGGACCGCGAGATCGTGACCTGAGCTGAAGTCAGACGCTCAACCGACTTAGCCACCCAGGCGCCCCTCCCCCTTCACATTATTTTGAAGGCTTCTTTGCAGATACTATTGTTTGAACCCTCATGTGAGTGGAATATTTGTGCCATTCCTGGATAAAGCCTCCCAAGGAGGCCAGGGCAGTAAAGGCACTGTTGATGTGCCCAGCCTGTGGCACAACGGAATGAGGACCAGCCGCACTGCCCTGGGAGGACGCTGGACTAGGATCTGAGCCGGGGACCTGCTCTCACCCCCGTTCCATTCCTGGCTTGTCAAGTTACCCTAAGAAAGTTACAATCTCTGTGAGCTCTGTTTTCTCATCTATAAATTGGTGACAAATCCCTGATCATCTCACAAGGTTGTCTCAAGGGTTGAATGAGTGAGATAAAATTTAATGAGGGTATTCTGTAAACCATTTAAGAGAGTTTATTTAAGTATTCATATCAGGCATTTTAAACAGAATATAATAAAATTTTAGCCTAGAGAAGACTTGTTTTTAAAATGTATCTTAGGAGCACCTCTAGGTGGCTTAGTTGGTTGAGTATCTGACTTTGGCTCAGGTCATGATCTCACAGTCCGTGAGCTGGAGCCCAGCATGAGACTCTCTGCTGTCAGTGCAGAGCCTGCTTCAGATCCTCTTGTGCTCTCTCAAAAATAAAAAAGTGAAACATTTTAAAAGTGTATCCTATCTGGGTTTAATAAAGCCAAGACTGTTTCAGTATTGATAACCCAGTGAGTGACTGTATAACACAGATGGGCGATATAAATCTGTAAACAAGCCTTGAGAGCAGGTGGATACTTTGTTTAGAGTAAACGAAATAGTATCTGGTTTCAGTTTCCCTCCATAGCTGCTAGGTTACTTCAACCTCAGTCATTCTAGGCTATGTCTGATTCTGCTTAAACATCATTTTGTCAAGTTCTAGAGGATATTTTAACGATGACAAGGCACAAAGTTTTTTTGGCTCTCTTGCAAACTGTTTCCAGTTATTCAATGTGTCTCTTCACATTTCTGCAGTCAGACGAGACATCTAGATAGGAAGAGAGCATTGAGATACTTTATCCTTCTCCCTGATTCCCTGATGAGCTCCACATTTTCCTACTCTGAGAGACTTACGCCTAATTACACATCAGGTCAGTGGACAGGCCAGGGGAACCCTGAGAACTCTTCACCCTGTCCTACCACACACACACACACACACACACACACACACACCACATATGGCCAGAATTTCTTTCGAGAGGCCTGGGAAATAGTTTTTCTGCCTTTTTTTGCACGTTATAATAGTGACTCAAATGACTTACCAAGGAAAGCTTTTTATATTTATCATGGTTGAGGGATCTCCTAGAGGTCTGTGGAACACAGAAACAAAAAGTGGTGCATTTGGAATATTTAAGTAATCGGAGATACAAAAGCAGGGAGCCTGGAGTCAGAGGGAGGGTGGTGGAAAAGATTTTCTTGCTTGCTTTTAGATTCTCATAGCCAATATCAAATATTGAAGAAAAGCAGTCACTTCATGAATTCAAATGCTATTCTGAAGCAAAATTGTTTTCGGTGCTAAGAGAGCATAAACCTCTGTTCCTCTTCTCGCAGGCCCGGCCCGTGGATTATCCTAGGGACTACCTTTCTCACCAAATTCCCATATCTTTTCATAAACACTGGAACATCGATCCGGTAAAGGTATATTTCACGTGGTTGGCACCCGGTGAGGAAGACAAAGCCAGGCAGGAGACACAGAAAGGCTTTAAGGAAGAGTTATAAAGCGTGCTGGCCTATGAGCACAGTTTGGTTACGAGACCGGAGTGGAGGCTGGCGTCGTCCTGCGAGCTCTGACCACATTGCTTCCATGTGCCACATGGCATTGGGAGACTCTGACTTTAGGTGGAAATTATGTATATGGTATTTTTTGAAGGGGGGGGGGAAGAAACAGAGTCGTAGGGGAAACAGATTTTTTTTTTTCTGGGAAAAATCACTTGCTTTTTGCATTATGCGGTTATTGTAATATACAGTGATTACTGTGTATTTTTCAAGCTGTGATACAGCAGCTTTATTACTGTCACAGAAAAATAAATGGTACCAGAAGTCTCCTTCCTGTTTTCTCTCTTCATTATAAAGTGTCAGATGGGCATGAGACTGGTAAGACATGACTGTGTGTGTGTATATATATATATATACACACACACACACCCACTCTACAGTGTGTGTGTGTATATATATATATATATATATATAGAATATATATATTCTAGTGTATATATATATATATATATATATATATATATAGAAGAGGCAACATCCGTTGACATGGGTATTACCATGATGTGAACTTTTTAACCATATTATTAATGATGAAAATTATTTTCTGGTTATTCAGTAGGAATAATGCTGTATTAAATATTCATCAAACATCATAAGTCGAGATACGAAGTCCCCCGTAGTCTATAATCAGGGTTGTTATGTTTTATCTGTTTTTCTGTTGGTGCCTCATAAAAAGAGAATAAGAAGTCTTCTGCTAGAGCTTTCTATTTCTTTCTTTAGAGGTTCATCTCTGTTCTATTTCTCCCCGAAGCCCTATCTTTATGACCTACTTGTAACACAAAAGTGTGCTGGATTCCGCCAGAAAATAGTGTTCTCCATATTTAAAAACAATGTTGTCGGGCTTTATTCAAGTCTGTGAGTTCTGTGGAAGTCTCAGGAAGTGAATTAAATTAATTTGTACCTGATGTTTTACTCTTATTTTTCTTTGAATGTTACTTAACGACTCTCTCCTGGCTCATAATAGACCCCCCAATGTACCGTGAAACCCTAGTGGAAAGGCAGCATGGTGATTTAGTAATTTCCCTGGGTTCTTACAAAATGAGATTTGAATATAGTATTTTGAAACAGCTCTAGTTTTCAAATCATATCTTTAGTATCTAGTAATTTAACACATTCATTATTAATTTGTAAAAAGTACTCTGTATGTTAACATTTTAATTATGTAATTCAGTTTTTTTTAAGGGCATTTGCATAAAATTTGATTTTGATATGTCTTAAACTAATTTCGGTCTAGTAAAATACTTTCCTCTTTTTTAAAAAAAAAAAATTGCTATTCATTAACTTTGCTTGTAAGGCTTTTTATGGCCAAGCACAGGGTTTTAAAGCCATACCACTAAAAGTACCCATGTGTGTTTTTTAACAATACATTTTCTTGTAGCTTAGCTTGGACTCATTTCCAAAATGATGCAATAGTATTTTTTGCTGGTTTCCAAATTAGCAAAAACCAGAACTGGTGTGTTTTCGGTGGTGACCGAATGCATTAGATTCATTTTTGTGAAAGTGGATGTGGTGGACTGGATTGGGGACGAGCGGATGTTTGAGAAGCACCCCAAGGGTCTATAGATCCTGTCAGACTGGTGGTGACATCAGCATCGTTGTCAGAGCTGGGATGGCTGTCCTTGCTATCGTCACAGTCACCTTCCTGTTATCTGTGATCAGTACCCCCTGGGGAGCCTGGCTGCCTGACCCAGTGGAAAAGAGGCTTTGGTTCTTCCTGCTCTGGCCTCCCAATTGTCATACTCCCAATATGGCACATTCATTTGACAGGATTGAACAGGCGTCTGTACATGAAGATCCACGTCAAGCTTTCAGTGCCTTCTACTGATGCCAGAGTACCTCCTCTGGTACTTGTTGGTGTTTCATTGATTGTGTTTACTTTTTGGAACTATGTCAGCCTAACCACAAATAAAAGATGTTTGCCTCAGTTACTCATTTCTCCAGTGTATCCATTAGTCCGACCTAAAGTGGGAGGGGTAAGGGGAGAAAGAATTAATGAAGCCCGGGGAAAAAGTTGGTGGCTCAGAAAACACAGCTCTCAGGGAGCAAAGTTAATAAAAAGCTATCCTTGTAAGAGAAAGCCATCAGATATTGAAGATCTATTTATACAAAGTCTATGAAACCATTTTCTATCTTCTATAACAAATGGAGATGTTATTTTGGGACGGATTCCCATACAGTTCCTACCTTAAGAAACACATTTTGAATCTGAACTTCCCAGGACAGATACAGTCCTATTCACATCTCTTCTGCCTTTTTCATAGGAATTCACTTCCAGATAGTTCTTTTCATCCTAGGGATGCCAACATCAAGGGATAACTGGAATGCTATTTTTGCTATTAAGTCACTTCTGATAGAACTAAAGCAAGTTGTCTCTGTAGAATTTTTATATCTTACAGCGAAATCAGAAATTCAGGTGCAAACACACCCTTTATGGAATGGGAACACAGAACCATAGCACAAAGTGATAACATGCACAGGTATATACGTGTCAGTACTCTCTCAGTTTCCTGGTTACCGAATACCTTTAGTGTGTCCACATCCGTATCCACTAATTGTGTACTTTCCCTCAGAAATTGGTAATACAAGAACGCTGGAAGAATCTTTAGAATGTTTCTGTTGTCTTTCGTTCATCAGCTGTAATTTCTATGGACAAAAATGAATCGATTCATTCAGCAGCTGTTTATTAAACACCTACTACGTGCCAGATGTTCCAGGATGCCCCTTATCTGTCCTACTCATCACTCTGTCCCTGGGATCTTTGAATGCCTGGCACATTGTTTTATGTTCCCAAGCATTATATAAACTTGTCACCTGTAAAATGTGTCTTCCTCCTATCTGTGGAAAGTGAAGGCTTTGTATCTCATGCTGTCTCACAGCACATGCTTTCCCCTAAAAGGCACTTTCCTAGTGGGAGTAGAGGTGGGTGCAAGGAGAATCAACCTAAAGCAGTAAACAAATGAAGAAACGAGATGATTTCTAATAATGACAAATGTTTAAAGGCACTAAGAACAGGATACCGTGATAGATCGAGGGGCTACTTTGGATGGGAGTGATCAGAGAGGGTCTGATGAGAAGGCGATGTTTGAGCAAAGATCCAAATGACTAGGAGAGGTCAGGAATGCAAGGGGTATTCATAGGGTATTCTAGGCAGAGGGAACAGAAAATGTGAAGGCTCTAAGGTGGGAGCAAGTTTGTCATGTCTAAAAAAAGAAAGCAAGCCTGCGTGACTGTCGCTTGGCTGTCATCATTGTTATTAGACATCCAGATGATGTCCGATAAATAGTTGACGTTAGTGAGTCTGGAACTCAACAGAGGAGTCAGGACTGGAGATTCCAGTGCTCATCAGCATGTGAAAAGTTTTGAAAAACACAAGACTACACAGAATCATCTAGGGAGAGAATGTAGGAAGAGAAGAGAGCAGGGTCACCCTGAGCAGGACAGTCAATAAGGTGGGAGGGGCGCCAATGACGTGTAATGGAGGCCAAGTAAAGAGCATTTCAAGGAGCAGGTGTCACATCCAAGAGGGCCATTAGGAGAGGATGGAGACGTCTGTGGGATTCAACAGCATAGACGTGACCTTGATGAGACCACTCCCAGTGAATGCTGCAGCATGGGGGAAGATACAGAGATTGCAGAGAGCAATTATGAACAATTTTTTTTTTTTTGGCCTACAGTTAATTCTTTTTATGAGTTAAAGACAAGGGGAAGTAGCTTAAGGTTGGGGGGACGTGGAGACTAGGGAGTTTGCATTTTAAGAGAAGAAGATTCCAGGGAATGTCCACGTGTGATGAGAACGGTCACATGGACAGTGAGATTAGTAAAATGACTGCATTGGAAGTTCTGGGGAAGCAGGATGAAATCCGGAGCTCCATGGGAGGGTCTAATTTGACAGGAGGATCTGCTGTCACACGGGAGCGAAGGGTAGGCACAGGGAAAGAGTTTTCGATTTGCTGACATGAAAACGTGAGTGCTTGAATCTGACCACTTCCGTTCGGTGGGAGGCAGTAACCTGCTGAGAGTGTTTGACTTTTTGCGTATGTTTGTTCTCTGGGAGAACGGTGGTGTGAACAACAGCAACCTGCCAACCACCTACGTAGAGCTTAGTCTGCTTGGCGGTCTTCTAAGTGTTTCACACATCGACTTATTTCATCCTTACAACATCTCTTTGAAGTGAGTGCTGCTGTTTCCCCCAGCTTACACTTGGGGTAACCGAGGCACAGAGAAATTAAGTGACCCTCTCAAAGTCACACGGCTAGTAAGTGGCGCAGCTGGGCGTTGAGCCCAGACGTTTTGGTTCCAGAGCCTAGTCATTGAATACCTGAGCTCTTTCACCTCTACCAAGAAGAGCATGGAAGACCAGCACAGATAAAGATGACCAAGAACCCCAGAGTTAGTCATAAGTATCCCCTATACCAGAGAGATTAAAGGCAAATATGCTTATGCATCAGATAAATTATAGAAGCAATCTATGTTGGGAGGGTAAAAGATGAAGAAGCCGGCTATGCGAGAATGAATTTCAAGTTCTTGTACGAGCACTTTGGACAGCAATCCGTCTGGTAAGGGCGAGGTACTCGTGCACCATGACTCAGTTCTACTCTGAGGCATATACCCTAGTAAACCTCTTACACCCGTGTACCAAGAAGCATGTACAACAATGTTCATAGCAGCACACACAGTTCAGGAGAGCCTGGAGCTGGAGGCAGTCTACATACCTGTCGCTTAAAGAATTAACAAGTGCTAGTATATCTTTATAATATCACATTATGCAGCAGTCAGTATGAATGGACTACAGCTGCACGAAGCATCTTGATGTTAAGCAAATAGAAAAAGTCACAGAACAAAACTTATAGGAGGATTTTCTTTGTACAACTTAAAACCATGCAAAATAAAAAGCAAACACAGAGCTACACCCACATCTAAAAAAATAAAGAAGAAGAGAATGA